AGCTGTGACCTTTCGCAAGATATACTGGATGTAGCCAGCTGTGCATTTAGGGTGATGGTGACTTTACTGGTAATGTACCAATTTGTTGTACCCATTGCGTTTTTCTTTTATCTTTTTCTATCCATCTGCTCAAGGATAAGCTAATCTATTTCAACAAGTTTTAGATATACATCACCACTATCTACTCTTGGATACTGTATATCAAAACATTTCTTAGCAGTTCTACTTTGCTATACCATCCCTTTTCTGGAACCTTTATATCAGTAGCGTGCTTGAACAGGAGAAAGGTAGGGGATAGGCTGCAAATACAGTCAGTTTCCCAGCACATCATGTCATTTTGCCAGAGATGGTTTCTGGTACCAGAGGATGGCAAACCATTTTGAATGCCTTCAGTCATAAGCAAAGTTCAAGTACGATGACTTAGTCAACAGTAACCCTGTCTAATCAAAAAAGGGATTAATGTATCACTCTCAATGATCAGAATACCTGCCGATTAATATATACATATATATATATATATATATATCTATATACACACATGTTTTCATATCTAAATAATTTATAGTGGCTTTTCCACTACAAAGTCCTTACATAGAGGATTTCTCCATAGCACAGAAAATTCTCATCAGTGTTTTGGAATGAGAATGTGCAAAATACAAAAGAGATCTGTGTTTCCTGACCTAGACAGCTTCTTGATTAAAGGGACTTTCAAAGGCCCAAATGTCCCAGTCCATATCATTTGCACCTGTTGGACTCATTGACTCTGAGGAGAAGAGGAAAGAATAACAGAATGCTGGTCAGACAATTTTAGGGTCCACCAATATCATTCCTTCTCAAGTCAGTCAATACATACAAGATCTTACACTCCAGCTGAAGTCATGCACAGGTGACTATCACTGTTGTGGCCAGACAAACCCTTCAGGCATGTCTGAATCCATGCTAATCTTCTTTCTTTCGTATGAGTCATTTGTGATAAGGAAACGTAGACAAGATTAAATTTCTATTAGACGGATATATAACTGGTTGGAAAGCTGTTCTCAAGAACAGTTAATTATGCTTCACTTTCAGACTGGATGCATTAAAGCATGTTCTCCAGGGACTTTACAATATTTAATTCATGATTTAAAAGATAGAATTAGCATTTAAAGCTAGCGATACTACCTGGAAAAATACTACAATATAGTATTATGATCTTAAGATATTATTTTAAGAATTTAGTTCAAAGAATGACATGTAATGACAATAAAGATGAATACTAACTTCTGTGTTTATATAGCAGTAATCTTTTGCATAAACACAAGTGAGGAAGGACTGACTAAGCAACAGTTCTGAGCTGAAGATGATAGGTGGATCACAAGTTGCACATGAGACAACACCCTATTTTTATAAAAGATGCAACTGTTGTACTGGAATATATAGAAAGGAGGATACTTTGTAAAGCATACAAAGTGGTTCTTCTATTCTTCTTGACACTGGAAAAAGCTTGTCTCTGACTTGGGGCACCATGACTGGAGAAGGATTCTGACAGTTCCAGAGAACAGAATGATCAGAAAGCTAGAAAATATAACATGAGAAAATATTGAATAAATAAGGGTTGTTTAATCTGAAGAAGAGGAAACTGAGGAATACATCTGTCTTCAAATATAGAAGAAGTTCAGAAGAAAATAAATCTTTGTCTATGTCAACTGCAAAACAAGTTCAGGTCAAATAGCAACAGAAGTTTTCTAACTGTATTTTTGCTCTTAGATAATGAGGCACTGAGACACATTGCCTGGGGAAGTTCTTAAGTCCTCATCATGTTCAAGAACAGGTAAATCAGATACCTGTGAGAGATAGTTTTAAGTTGACTCTGAGCCAACTGAATAGTCTTGATGACCTTTCATTATCTCCTCAGCCCTATTTTCTGTTAATGTGTATGATTTTTTTCCCACAAGTTAATTAGTAAGGTCTGCTCCTCCCCATTGGCTTAATCCTGATTCCATGGACAGGAAGGCTGCTGTCTCCTCATTCTGTCTTAATTTTATGATTTCCACTTGTGAGTAAGCAAGAGAATCCCTGTTGCTGCTCATGATAGGACAGCTGAAGCAGCTGTGGTATCAAAGAAACATTTGTCTATCAATGAAATGTCCCAGGACTATGCTTTTCTCTCAGTCTGTCCTGGCCATGTGTGCACTAATAGGCCTTAATGGCTGTGACCTGTGTCACTTGGGGCCCCTCTCCACACCTGTGGGCACAGGAGCCTCAGTTCAGCTCAACCCTGGGCTTTTAGTCCATGCCTGAATTGTGCTGTGTTGGTACCAGTCTTCAGATCAGCTACAGCCATGCCTGTACGTTACTACAGACATTGATACAGACCCTAACTCACAGACTGACTCCCCAGTATAACCTCAGACCTGTCTCGTCACCATGGGCCTGCCTATGTTTGATCATGGTTACTCTCACTGGACCTGATCCCAACCTGTGGATTGACATCCCAGCTTGACCTCAGATTTGCCTTGTCACCATGAACTCACCTGATGAACAGGTGTCAGGTCTGCCCACTTGCCTTGATGGCACTGTGGGGCAGGGCCCTGGCTGGTGAGGACCCTGCACTGGCAGCTGTGATACTGCACTCAGCTGATGGCTAGCCTTCACTCAGGGAGCACCCAGCCTTTGCTGCACCCTGACGCAGTCTGCTAATGCAGGACTTTGCAGCCCTCTGCCATGTTAGTATTGGTATGTCCCATCTCCTGCCATAGCTGGTCTTGTCACTAGAACGTCTGTGCTTTTCATTTGGGAGGAAGGTTCTTGTCAACTGCATAAAGAACAGCAAGAGATGAATGAAACTGGCAGAATGGGTTAGGATGTCAGGCTGATGTCAGGTTAGCCTCTCTTACCAGGTTCCCCTCACACTCATCCTGGTCTGTTTGTTGGTACTAAAGGAGTTCATTTCCGTCTAGTTCTGGTGAGGTTCTTTACCTGTCAACTCTTCTGCTCCCTCCCTATATCATATATATGTGTGTGTATGTATGTATATATACACATAAATATTTACATATATCACCAGCTGTGCAAATTCCCTGGGGGATGGTTAAACCATTACTCCTGCACATAATCTTCAGGTGTCCACTGACTGAATCAAGTGATTTGCTTATGCCTCAGACCCAGGTGTCCTTCCTGGGCTAGTCTTTAGGAGTGTTTTTCCTAGTTATGACTTCAACTAGGAAGCCAGCTGAGAGCCAAACTCTTTATGGATCCAAATAGCTTCCTTCAAGAAAATGTGTCCCTGCACACCTGTCATAAGCTTATCCTGAACACAGTTTTGGTCTCTTCATCTTATCTAGAGGACTGACATACTTCCATTCTTTCTTGGAAGAAGAAATTTCTAGAGGCAGGGCATCTTTGGACTTTTGTTGTAAAGAGGCCTTTGACTTTTTACCTCTGCAGGACTAGGTCTTTCAGATCCAGAGTTGTTTGTGTCAGCAGCTGAGAGGTTGAAAGTCAGGAGTGCCAAGCAGGATAACCACCAGTGAAACCTGTTATGAAAACACCAAAAAGGAGCCACCCTCCAAGATTAATACACATTCCACTGGAGCTCAGTCTAAATTAGTGGCTTTCTTGAGTGATATCTCCATTGCTGACATCTGCTGAACCACTGCTGTGAGTTCCCTCCACACCTTCACCAAGTGTTTTGCCATTTCAGAAGCATCCAGGTATAATACAGTGTGTGGTAACATGTTTCTGCAGTGGTTGATGCATGAAGCACGCTAGGTCTCCCTACCAAGCACTGTGATTGTTAGGAGGAACTGCTGGACGAGCATAAATATGGGTAATCTATATTAATAATTTCTGTTTTGAAGATTAAGCAAAATATTTACATATCAGTTAATGAAACTGCTAAAGGTGTGCTGTTTATGAGCACACTCCCTTACACAGTCCTTCTTCATGGTGTTTGAATTTCTCAGAACTCTCAACCTTGGGATTCTGTGATGGAAAAGGAAGTTAGACAATCGCCACTTTATGTATGTAGCAAAGCCAACAAGCCTGATGGAAAGGAAGTGGAATGTAAGCTAGTCTGGTGAATACTGCATGGATATGAAACTGTCTGTCTCAAGGTTTTGCCAGATATACAATGTGCACATGCATGTAAGATGCATGCATAGATGGATAGATAGATAGATACAGGTATTTGTGAAATAACTTTCCTCTTACTATTTCAGGTTTCACTTCAAAAAGTAGATCTTAATGCAAGATTGTAAGAGTCCATCCTTCTTGAACTTGCATATGATCATGACCACTAATAAATGGATTTTTATTTCTTCTAATAAGGACGTTACTTATTATTGCTTCTAAAAGAACAGGAGTCACATTAGATACTGTAATTCCTGGAACAGTGATGAATCATTTCAGCAAAAAGATCAGCCTGTCTGATCGTGCTGTGATAAGGCTTGACATCACTGCTCTTGAGTGGACCACTCCTCTTCAAGTAATAACTACTGATTTCAGCAGCAGTATTTGAAGAGAGAGTGTTTCACAGTATGAGAATGGGTGGTACAACTTGACCTGTAATCCTTGAGGGTTTTGAGGGGTAGGGGAAGGGAGGAGGAGCATTTATTTCAGAGTAAGAATATTATTGCTGTAGTTTCATATCAATATTGAAAATAGTATTTTAGTGAACTGTAGGGTACACCATAGTACATGGCTAGACACACTGGAATGAAGTGAAGCTCATCCTATTTGGATTTTTTCCATCAAATTCTATTTTGCAAAGCTACATCCATTCTTGCACAAAGAATAATCTAGACAGAACTGAATAAAGTCATAGCCCCTGACTGCAGGGCTTGCTCTTATAGCTAGCTCTTTTTCAGGGCACAAAAATGAAACAGGTAATTCCTTGTGTCCTACTGTGTTGTACCTATGCACATGGATCTCTCTTAGCTTCATTTCACTTTTTCAAACATTTGTTTCTTTTAGTTTGTGAATATTGTGTAATTGTATTTCTTCTTGTTTGTTTCTTTCAGAATGTTCTAATTGTGGAGGTAAGTTGGGTGCTTATGTCATATTGTATTTAGATAAAGTCACATAGTCAAGTTGTGATTGTGTGTTCAGTTTCTAAAACCTGTCTGTTTATACTTCTTTAGCTGGGAGGTGGTGAAGAGGGAGAGGGGTAGATTTGCTTAATGACCTCTCAATCTGTTTGCAGTTGCATGATGGGTCAAACTACATTGCTGCTGCTCTAATTGGTAGTCTGCTTTGTGATACACAGGAGTCTTTGTTTCTACGTCATTTGTTCTTTCTGTGGTTTCATCAACTCCTGTTCTGCAAGTTGTTCTGTTCCTTGGAGGACAATGAATCAAGTGCAGTGATGTCCTGCACTGCTCAGTTGCATGACTTTGAAATAGTAGCATAGCCTTGCACACATTTTACAACTTCAGGGTTGTTCACATGTTGGCTGAGAATGTCAGCCACTCTCTTAAGTCCCCATGACTTCTGCTCGTGAGCTTTGCACCCTGCAGTGTCCCCCAAGGAGGAGGACACACCACAGATATGTTGCTGATGTAAATGAATAGTGTTCAGTTGTAGAGCAAAATAATATGTCACCTCACTGGTGCTGCAAATTCTCTCTTAATTAATGCAGGTGATTCTCTATTAAAATGTTGGAAAAGCAACTGGGATGGTTAGAGAGCACATCAGGATCTGACTGGCATTTCAGGCCAGTCTGCTTGTGTGGGAAGTAAACTGGACAGTGTAATGAAGGAAATCTATAAATGTTGGAATGTCTTTTCTTAGCAAAGAAGGGAAAAAAGTTATCAGCTGCAGAGATGGCTGGTTACCTGAATAGCTGCTAGGAGCTTTGTATTTGCTAATGCTAACTGCTGCAACAGAAATGAAAAACATCTTAAGCAAATTTTGTTAATGCTGTTAGATAGCTGGGGAGCAGAGACAAGGTGTTGCTAATGAAAAATCCACACCCACGGAGTTAAGGATCAGCAGCTCTTCTCCATGTTATGGTCATTTTTGTAGCCAGGCATCTACTGATCTCATTCAGATCAGGTTGGGTAGAGCAGCTATGGAGAATAATCATTTGTACTGGACTAATAAAACAACAGATAGAGCAGATTTAGTCCTGACATGGGGAGATGTTGACATGCTGTAGACTAGAGCATAACATGAAAAGTCGGATCCCTGCATCCTTACAGTCCCTGGTAAAGTCATCTCCAGTCCCATGTTACATCCCAAGTCCCAGAAACATAGCTATTTTGAAGGGGAGGTGGACAGTCCTTTAACTGATTATTTTATGAGTACAAGGTACTTGTTTCAAAGAATGTGAGCTCAGTTATAACATTTTTTGGATGTGGCTCAGAATACACTGGGAAAAATACATAATTTCCACAAAATAAGAACGTGGAACTGCTCAGTCATTGTCCATATTTCCTCTTTTCAGCTTCCCAGTGTTTTTTACTTACTCTGTTTTTCATGTTTTGTAAGGATATTGTTGGAACTGGAAGGACTATGAAGGTTCTGCTTAATAATATAGAAAAATACAAGCCAAAAATGATTAAAGTGGCAAGGTGAGTAAAACAATCACAAGACTTAGTCATTAATTAGTCTAGCCCAACATATTTTCCAGTGGGGTTTCCCATTCCAAGATCCTGCTTTAATTTGCAGCTGCAATAGCACATGGGGAACTCTGCAGAGGAGCTGCCTGAGTCACTAAGAGGAGGGTAGAGGAAAGGAGAGGAAACGCTTTTGTATTGTTCTGCAGAGGCAATGACCCTGCAGCCATTTCAAGACTGGCAGTGATGGGCTTGGAAGGGGAACACACCCATCTCTTCCCTGCCATCAAGACGTTGTTGGGAGGAGAAGCAGAGTGAGAACAGTGATTCACATGGCTTGGAAGTTTTTTTGATAAAGGAAGTAGTTTTTATGCATGCTATTCAGGTAAATATCTAGATTTACACGAGTTTTATTTTGTTTTTAATTACAGTTTGTTGGTGAAAAGAACATCTCGGCCTGATGGGTACAGACCAGATTGTAAGTGGTGGTGTGAAAATCTGTACATGACAGTACAAGAAGTTACCACTATTCTACCCCTTGCCTTTGATATTATTCTGTGGACTGATAGAAGCATTGTAAAATACCAGTGTAAAATACCAGTTGTCAATAGGACTATGGAAGAATTTGTACAATTATGATTAGGAAAGCCTTGCCTCCTTACAGTCTGATGTTCTCTGTAGAGTACTAAATTTATAGGGAAGCTATGAAAGGGTTTAATTTTATGTTTGAAATGTGAATGTTTTGTCTTCTGTCTCTGACAAATTATATAGAAGAAGTAGTCTATTTCTTGCTTTTCCTTCCTCATTGCATCTGTTTGGAGGGGCTGCAGGATTCCATCTGAACATGAAAGGTGTTTTATTGTGACCTAGTTATTCACAAGTTTTACATTTTTATAACAATATTTTCTATTATTTTTTGCAAAGTATTATTAAGGGGTGAACAATAATATTATCATTAAATCCCACCCCCCAAAAAGCAAAAGATAAATTGGGCTTTTTAAACTTCCTCCTGCTGCTCCGTTTATCACACTAGCACCACTTCTCTCTGAACTATTGGTACTTGTACTATGCTGATGAACCTGCAAATGAAGCTATAACAAGCTATTGTTATTTTAGATTTATTAGAATAAATTATATAATAACAGGTATGTGGTTAAATACTAAAGAAAACAGATCCCTCTAGACGAGATTGACCAGTGTTTGCTACTGAAGAAGGCTCTGGTCAGCTGAGCTGGGGAGGAGGGTAGAAGGAGAGTAGGCAGGTGAGTACCAGGAGACAGCATGAAGGGTCTTGATTTGGGATGTGGGAGAGAGGGAAACTATGAAACTAAGTTACTCAATGTTGGGCATGGCCCTGCGATTTTAGCCCAACAGTCTGAACTGTAAGCCAAACATTTTGTTGTACAACTTTTTATACAGTGGTATTTTTAACATTTAGAATTTAATCCAGTAAATTAAAGTATATATTTGACTGGATTCACTAATATTAAACATATTAAAAATACAATAAAGTTACTTCATGAAGGGTACCTTAATATTTTTATGTAATAACTTGCAAAAAGAAACAGGTTTTATCCTTGTTTATTTGTACTGTGATGACTTTTATAAAACATCAGAGATCTCTCTTGTAAATCACTGACAGTGATGTGTCATTTCCTCACTCAAATTTATGATTCCAAAGTATCTCTTACCCACGGTTTTTAACAGTTGAATACAGTCGTTACTTGAATACCTGTAATTTTTTTTTATGCTGACCTATTTTTGTGTCCATAAGGTTGTGTTTTTCTCTAGTTACTTAGTGAACATTTTGGAAAGATTCTAACTTGTTTATATAGTCTGATACTGCACAGACCTTCACATTCAAAAAGATACATGCCTATGCTTAGCTTCAGGTGTGTGAGTTGTAATGATTCAGCTACACTTCATGCATTTACTTTGTTAAGCATGTGCATGAATCTTCATAAGCCTGGGGCTTTAATTTAAGAAGCATTTGACATGTTTTGGTAGCATAATATGCAAAATAGTTTTTGCTATTCTCAGAAGAAAATATATAAAGCTCTGAAAGTTACTTTTGAATTGAAACTGTACATTTTTTTCATCTTTAGTGTGATACTGGACAGTTGTCATCACACATATATACCAGTGGAGATTCCTAACGTAGGCAGAATTTTTCAGCTCTGATTTTGGCTTCCTTCCACAGTGTGTCTGTTGTGCCAGTGATAATTGTACACAACTCTCCTACTCTCTACTGACTATTCACATGCCTGTCACAAATAGTCTGTGAGTGGGAGCTGGGTATACGGCTACTGCTGACTGATGTCTTGGAGTCAAAAGTAACATAACCTCAACTGACTACATATATCGATAGTTTGCTTGTCAGAGAACAAACATATGAATTTAAGGGCTGTATAATTGCCACTGATCTTGTATTGATGGTGTTTGTTATTTGTCTTAATACAGATTACGGATTTGAAATTCCAGATTTATTTGTGGTAGGTTATGCCTTAGACTACAACGAGCACTTCAGAGATCTAAACGTAAGTTTCTTATAGTTTAAAAAAATCACTGTTTTACATTTCCAGGGTGTTTTAAATACTCCATAATTTTCCTCCTCCCTGAGGCCTTAATGTCATGGTTGGGATCCTTTCAGTTAGTGTAGAACTCCCTGCAAAACCACAAATAATCCAAAGGAGTCACTGCTCAGTGCAGTGAACTGTTCCTTCCCATCTCTTCGCCCTAAGAGCAGAAGTTATACCTCTGCTATACTTCTGTCTTCTGTGAACCTAGGACTTCAGAGGTCCACCATTTCGAGTACATGCAGAGACAGCAGTACAGTTCAGACAGGTTTGGACTTTTACTGCTATGTTGTCTGCCCCTTTTCTCAGTGAGATAGCGATGAAAAAAAGGTGCAAGCCTTGCCTTTGCTTCCTGTGCTACTGCCAGGGGTAGACCTCAACACTGGGAAATGCGAGTGAAAAAACTTGCTGTAGCTATAAAGTGAAACCAGAATTAAATTTCAGGTCACTGGAAAGGAAGGGGTAATCACAGGATCACTAGATTGGTCAAGCAAAAGTATTTCTGAACAATTCATTGTAATCAACGATGCTGTTGCAATCAGTGTTATATATTTTTTCAGCACATATGTGTTATCAATGATCATGGCAAAGCAAAATACAGAGTCTGAAGCGGTAACATCCTCACCCGAAGATTTGTAAGCTCAGTGAAGCAGAAATTTGACTACACTCCCTCAAGCATCTGTCAGAAGAGCAGTTCAGCTGACCTGGGTTTCTTTCAACTCAGTATAATAAGGGTTTACTCTAGAGATACTGATTAATATTTACAGAAGTGAGAGCTCTTATCTAAAATGTGAAGTAGAGGGCTTTTAAAGTTATTACCTTTTTTAAGTATTAAAATTACTGCATAAGATGCCTTTTGACTAATAATTTGTCTGCCTCAAGTCTCATTGTGAATGCATCTGTTCTTCGCTCAGTCCGTCATTCTACCCATTGCAATTCACGTACTTCACTGTGTTGCATAAGATCATTCAAAAGAGCCTTTCTGCACATGAAGATTTTTTACAGAATTTTATAGAATTTTACAGAAATTTGCTGTTTTACAGAATTTTATTGACTTCAACATCCCCTTAGTCTTGGTCAGATATGCTGCTGCCGAATTGAAAGCATTATTTTCCTTTAATTCCACAATTCAGAAGTTTCAGCTGAAGCTGTATGTTGTATGATAGTACATTTCTAGCAGTTCATTACTGCCTCTTCTGAACAGAAGTTTTAAACCTCAGAATGCACTGAACTAGACTGCTGGTACAAAATAAACCTTTGCAAGACACTGGTGATCTGAAATTGGAAGATATCTTGGGTTTGGTATGTCATGTAGCCATAGATCTAACCCGTTTAATGTGCTGAATTTTAATGAAGAGAAAACAATGCCAGGCAGGTTTCAATTTCTGCATGGTATCCTTTTACTTTTATAGGACACAAACATGTAAAAAACCTAACATAGTATTCTCCTGTGCATATATGCTTAATTAAACCTCATTAAGAACAAAAGTTCAATGCTAGTCAGACAATTATTCAGTTATTTGATTTTTGTAGCATGTCTAAGTAAGTTGAGACTTTTTGTAACCATTTGCCATCTTTAAGAATACAGATCTAGCAATGCTGGAGAAGGCATGTAAAAAAAGAAAAAAAAATTGTAGGAAAACATAGAAAACAAGTTAACTATGGATACTGTAGACTCAAGATTCCTTCCTTCCCTTATACATTGTGTTTGAGGAATTCTGTTAACTTACATGCTGTATTGTGAAAAATTTAATTCTGTACTGTATGTAACTGTTCTCAACAACGTCCCAAGGGAATCCAATGCAAAGTAAGTAGCTGTGTATCAGTATCTTTACTCTGAACTGTAAGAGCTAGATTGTTATTAACTTCAGGTTCCTTTAAACTAATAAAGAAACAGTAAGAATACTTGTTACATTGCACAGTTGTTTATTTTCCTGCTTCAGCATATTTCATGAATCCTGTAAAAGCTTTTCAAAAATACGCATTTAATTGGTAATCTAAACATACCTTATGTATATATCCTGCAGCTCACAAGCTATTGTTATTTCGATAAAATCCATTATGTTAATGGCATAAAGAAGTAAGATCAAAGAATTACTGTGGTTGCTAGAAAAATGCTTTAGCCCTCTCTTCTTTACTCTTTTAACCTGTATTTTTAAAGAGTTCTGTTGAAAAGCTTTCCCTTATAGAATAACTTTCTTCTGTAACAGAGAAGAAAGCACACCTGTACAACCCCTGGAAGAAGCTAGTGAAAAGAGTTTAATCTCTTTTTCTTTTATGAGCGTCTTAAATTTTTTCTTAATGCTTCTGATTTCTGTGGATCTACTAGTATCGGCACATTGCATGGGCAGGCATGCTTAAGCTTAGGCTTCGTTCAGGAGATCCATTAGGTTATTTACTTTTTGTCTCTATTCTTAAAAAGGCACAATCAAATTTGCCTTGATACTATGATCAGCCTTCAGCAACAACAAAAATGTAACAAGTGAATTAGTGTGAAATTAGTGTGAAAATATGAAGTAATATAAATGTAAATTAATTCAGGCTGTGTTAGAGTTGTTTCACTGGAAGACTGAGATTATCAAAATCTACATATTTAATAGAAAAGACCAGAGTTACAGAAAAAAATAAGTAGAACTGGAAAGTTTCTTCAAATTAATTTTATTTCCTCCTGCCAGATTTTTAACACTCTGATAAAGCACCATACAAATTTCACTAGTGAATTTACACATGCAGTTATGCTGTGAATAAGAGGTGTTGTTCTCCTCTAATGTCATATTTGAATTTTGTACCTTTATATATCTGAGCATGTCCAGATGTCTCAGTTGCCATTGCACATTACTCTTTGCTTAAAGCAATACCATCTGAAAAATTAGTTTTCAGTTACTTCAATAATCTGATTCCAATATATCACAAGTGTAACTGATGAAACAGGTAATTATGCATATATGTCTGATTATTATTCGGTCTAGTTTCTTCAGCATGCTTAGATAGTTAAAAAAAAAATCAAACTTTTTTTCTGTAGCTGTCTCCTGATTCAACAATAGTGTTGATTCCTTGTGTCACAATGTACTTCATCTAAAAGGCCACTAAACATTTTTCCAGTTGCATTTGTACTCTACGACCCACAAAGCAATGTATTTTTTGTTTAATATCAGTTCAGCAACATCTGTTGCTGAAGAATAGAGGATATTCTTTAGTCAGTTATTTTTCTGGACATTGTGTTTATGTATTTGGAGGGCATCCATTTTTATCTCACTTTTTCTTCTCATGCACTCTTAACACCAGCATCCTTTCCCTACCCGTTGAATACAAACTAACATACGCAGTAATGTGTTTTGAAGTTACATAAATGTTTAGCAGCCATCAAGTTTTAGACTTTATTCAGTTCATTCATGCTTACATCTGGTCCAAAAAGTAATTTTCTGGAGAGAAGACCAAAGTAGGAAGAGTAATTCCTGCAACTTGGTTAACTGAATATCATTTAGGATTTCATGTTACAAACTATAGATATAGTCTGAATATCTAGTAATTTCTGCTTTAAAAATAGAATTTAAATAGTCTAAAAGGTCTGTAATTAAAATGCTTTTCAATTTAATTAGCTGCTGCATTCTTGTATTTATAGTCAAACAAAATAGAAAATAGTGCCTGGTTTTTTGATTGCTTAGTATTAGTGTTATATTTCCTGGCAATACTGTGTTAATCCTCAAAGTTTTATTATTAAATTTCTATAATGTAAAATTCCAGCATTTCCTCCAAAAGTACAGTATTAACTGTATGCAGTGTTCAGCTGCAGAACAGTTTCTGATCTGTAAAAGAGTCAAATCATCACAGTTTATACACAATAAAATGCTTGACTTGGAGATGTACTTATGTCATGAATCATCATTATTGCTCTGTGGTGAGAATAACATTTATTTCAATAAAAATATTGGAATTTTAAGTTTTAATGTTTCTTTAGAAGAAGATAAAGGCCAAATCATCTTCTCTGCACATGTTTGCATTTCGATTTTCTCAGATAAAGTAGAAGTGAAAACCCCTATTTTAATCAAACTTGCTATACATGCAGACTGTAATTGAGTCTAGCTCCCTAGAAAACTTCAGTTTTCAGTTTCAGTTTAAAATGAGAATCTCAAAAGACAAACATTACAGGGTGTCACAGCAAGAGCTAAAAGGATCATTGTCCTTTTGTAAAACCATCACATTTGGGAGTGGTTTTCCCTTTTACTTTTTAAAATGTTTTCCAAGAACTCTGATAGTCTACATATAAATATCTGAGATGAATGCAATATCTTAAGTGTACTGCATCTCCCTAGATTGGAGGGAGAAATTTACACATATACAAGTTAATGTAGGTGTGTCTACATTAGTTAGTGTGTCTACATTCAGTTCAGTCTTCCAAAAGTTAGCTCTGGCTGTACTCACCAGAGCGCATACAAGATAACTGAAGAGGATGAGTCCACCTCCTTCTGTGCTTATTTCAGTTGTCCCCATTTGAAACCTCGTAGGTGAGAGAATCAGGTACTTTACCCATCCTCTCAACAAAATAAAAATAATAAACAAAAAGAAGTAAAGTGAAGGGAAAATAAAAGCTTTCACCCTAATTTCATACACCTTTCACAGTTATTCATTTAATGCTATATGCCTTCCTCTGGGAAGTCAGCCACACACAGCTATCCCAGTACCTGAAGTAACAGTGTTTGTACCAGTAGGGAATGAATGACTGCTGTGTTTGCCGTGAGAACACTGCAACAACACGTAGCTGGATAAAAAAGATTGATCACAAGCTTTAAACTATACTGTGGGATTATTTTGTGGTGTTAAAAGGATAATTCTATATTCTGCACTTACCATAAGTGACAAGAGAGGAAAGATAACCAAAATAGAGAAGGGAGTGCTAACATAATGAAGAAAGGGGGTCATTTATTTTGCAGAAAACATGGAGAAGACCCAATACTTTTTAGAAGGTAAAAAGACATCAGTTCTGGGTGAGGCTCTGTAAACCCCTTGAAGTTTGCCAGCTGTAGTTTGGGTACTTACTTGTGCTGTTACAAAGTACTGGCTGACACTACCTTCATTTCTGTCAATAGAATAGTGCTTGGTTTCTTTGTACCTTCACATGAACACAAGTGTATCCACAGCTGAACTTTTCACTGTTGCCCCTGATTGTTTCGGAACACAAAGGGGGTTCCCAATCTGCAGAAACTTAGACTCAATTAGTTAAATACTCGCTGTCATGCCTTGTTCCTTCTGCTGCTGCATGTAGCAATGAACTACTGACTACTAGAGATTGCAGTACAGCAATTTGCCTGTAATACTAAGAGAGAAAAAGATTTGGATACCATTCAAAGGCTGACCTTTAGTTTGTTTCAGGAGTGGCATGAAAGATTTCCCATTTTTTTTCTGTAGCAGAAAGAGACAAAAATGACTTGTAGTATTGTAATCTAGCAGTCTTTCTTAGACCTGCATGATTTGGCATCTGGTAACAATAAGAGAATCTCATTTCTAATCATGATACAAAATTTCATTACATTAAATCATCACTACACATTTTCCAACATCCATTGGTTCTACTGTTAGTAAAGCTTTGTACATTTGTCAGCACTCTTAAGTCAAGAGGTCATACAAGGGACAACTCTATTGCTGGGAGATGTATGTTATGCCTCCATAGCTACTGACTTTGCATCAAAAAACACTGGAATTCAGCTAAGACGTTTTGGAAGCAATGCCATAGAACAGAGTTATCTTGAAGTGCTTCTTCTCAGTAATTTTTCATTTTCCTAAACTATTAGAAGTTTTAATCTCTTCAGATTGCTTTACTCTAGTTACACCCTATTTTTACGTTGTGTTCTATCCTGGTGTCTTTTAACCAAATTCGTGCCAGTCCTGTCATTTTTAATGACATTCACAAACATTTGTTGTTTTCTGGGAAAGTTAAGCCCTTGTTCTGAAGCATTCAAGGGCAGATTTTCAAAAGTGCTTAAGCATCCAAGAAAATTTTA